AAATTAAAAAATGTACTAATCGAACTCCTAAAAATTGAAATGTGAGAATGTAAAAATATAGTGTTTTTAGTTTTAAGCTGATAGAAGTTTCGATTCGGTAAATATACGCGTGCAGGCCGGGCCCGATCCGGAGCGGATCGTTGCTAACGTTCGCATCGATACCTGTTTCCACGTTGGACAGGTGTTTGCTTCGGCCTGCACCGCTGCGAGCACCGTATATTTTGTTTCTTTATCGGCGTCGCTCAAAACTCTGTACATCTACTTAACCCGTTCCCCTTCCACTTTACACGCCACGCGAATGTATCTTTCGCAAACGTACTACGGTTAGAAACTTATAAATCATTTTGTTTGCGTGAGACGCTTAATAAGGTTAATATCTTTTGTATCATTTTGTATAAGAGATAGAGTAAGGTTAACATAAGCTGGTTATGTTAAGGTTAACGTAAGGTACGGTTAAGTTAGGTTTCGGATTAGAAATTTGAATAACGGTGAGTTTTTAATGATAACTATTAATTAAATTTTTAGTTCAGTCACTTCTGTTTAACCATACTTTGATATTATTTATGTTTGCTATATATATAACTAGTGATTGCTATAAAGATTCGTATATTACTGATAGGTTAGTTAGATAACTTTATAAATCTACTCTTCATCACTTGTTCTCCAATTTAATATTATGTGAACGTTTCATCTGACAATACTACACAGACTAAATCTTTCACACATTCGAGATCATCGAACGATGCTACCACATGAATCAAAGAAACATAGCATTGTATAACATATTCAAAACAATCAAATAATATATCCATCTCCAGCTGAAAAAAATCGTTTGGAATACGTTCCGCATCCAAACGAATAACGCAGTCCACCTCTACGTGGACCTCCTATCTGAGCAACGTAAGAGAAACGAAATAGATTGCCGACTTTAATAGAGATTAGCGTGTGTCAGCTAATAATACATTTATCAATGCTTGCGAAAGAAAAATACCCGATAAAAGTGTACTCTATTTCGTCTAAATTGCGAGCAAAACAACAGATTGTTTCTCGGACTTCATCGGCTAAGACAGCAATGACGAACCTATGACACGCATGCACATATTTTAACGACGCGCACGGATTTTCCAGACACACGGTTGTTGCAAGACACACATTAGTGGCTTCGTGTAAATTAACTACCTTATTTAACTTCGTTTTACGATCATTCTGTTTCAATATTCCAACTTGTGCGACCTTCTCTTTTAAGTTATTTCTAGAGTATTCATCACAGTTTCAATATCGAATTTCGCTCCGATTTACACAATAGGCAGCAAACCTTATTTTCGTTCGAAAAGTTTAACACTAAAACTACCAGACCGCTCCACAAGTTTCTTATTATTAGGGGTACCGAAAAGTAATCAAAATTTTGTTTGCTGGCGAAAAATATTTATTTATTAAAGAAATCTTAAATCAACAAAATAATTTCCATCACTTTCTAACGTTTTTTTCCAGCGTAAAGGCAATTGTTCCCTTCCTAAAAAAAGTCCTTCGATTTTTCATAGAAAAGCTTTGAAATCATCGAAGAAATTTTGATTACTTTTCGGTACGCCTAATATAAGGTACACATTTTGTTAAACATTCCCTGGAATCAGCATTGATTTCCATCAAGATAAACAATAAATGTGTGTGCTAATTTATGTTTCGTTTGTATATTTATTCTTTAACCCTTTGCACTCCCCAATTTCTTTTACCGACTCCTTAATTTACAAAAAATATATCAAGATAGGGGTTCTCAGTGAAATGTATTGCAACAGTGCGAAGCATTTGACAAATACATTTTTCATTTATTATAAATAGTAAATAAATAAAGATATATATATTTAACCAATCTATTTATCTGAATTATTTGTAAGATCCAAGAGAAATGTGATGTCGAGTCACACTCTATATAAGAGTGCAAAGGGTAAACTTCATTTTTAATTTCAAAGTAAGCGTGCATATCGCTAGATTTAGTGTTAATTTAACCCCTTGCACTCAGAGGTAATTTGACTGTTTACAAACAGCAACTTTAAACCTCACTTAAAAAGTTAAATGAATTTTCTTGAGGTTATTATTTCTCTACTAATAATTTCCACTGTTGTTTGTTTCACTATATTTAGACACCACACGTGTCATACTATAGAATCAGTTAAAAATGCTTATTTCAAATTATTGTATTAAATAAAATGGTGACTGTCACCTCTCGAGCGAAAAGGGTTAACTGTCAGAATATATTTTAGTTAGTATAAAAAATATTGAACTTATATAAAGGTAGCAGCCCATAAATTTCGCACTAGTTCCACTGTCCGTAAATTTCAGTCACGTGCACATAAAAATGTTCGCCAGGAGTGTCCTAGGAGTTGGTTGAAACCGATTCGCGGCGAACTTTCGCAGGCAACCCTTTGCCGGCCAACGAGCGCGCGATTCCTATGAGCGAGAGAGAGGGACGGAAAGAAACATCGTCTAGAGAGAGGAGAGAGAGAGAGAAAAAAAAGGAAAAGAAATCCGTGGAACGGGCAAAAGGGATACTCTGTGCGTGCCCGTAAATCTCTTGGCGCCCGTTGTTCTCGCGGTCCACGACGTTAGTTCCTTGTCCATTCCGATCCGTTCCGCCGTTCCGTGAAGCGAGTAGGCCGAAATTCGCCCCCCTACCCCCTCCCCCGTAGCGCGGCTCGCCGACACAAAAAAGAAGGAACACCCACAGGAAAGGGAACCCGTGGAAAAAACGAACAAGACGGGAATAGAACGAGAGAGAGCGGGAGAGAGAGAAAGAAGAATTGATCGTATTCGCGACGGCGGAACAGAAAGCTTCGGCTACTTTGCATGTTTCCGTCGTCCGTTCAAAACGCGCCGTTAATTTCCATTTAACCGTGATTATTAGAGGTGTGACCATCGATTATCGATATCTTATTGGGTCTTAAGCCTGCTGAGCGTGACACGGTCAGATCTGAAGATTTTGAGAGGGTGAATACTTGTTGAGTCTCAGTTAAAAAATTATGAAATTTATTTGAACTTGAAGATTTTGGAAGTGGAAAATTTAGAAGCTTGCTGTTAAAGTCACTATTGTATGAACCTGACCTCTGAGTCTAACCTCTAATCCAAGTAAACTAACCTTTACAAGTACTGTGACCTACCCCTACTGCAAATGAACCTAACCTCAATTCCAAACGACTTTATTCTGAATGACTGCACCTTTCTGTAAATTTGACTATTCAGATTCTTTCTGAAAAAAATCTATCCGAAATTCAAAAGCACCTCGGTTCTAATATAAATTTAAAAACAATATAGTAATGCTGTTATATTAATAATATAATAATGAATTTAGTACAGGTTATACTTTACTTGAACTACCAATTTCCTGATGAAGCAAAAATTTTGATAAAATTACTGAACATGTCAACTTTAAGCCCACTACACATAACACTAACATTTTCCAATCCTACTGATTTAAAATTTCCAATCCTAATGATTCAAAATACTCTGTGAGAGTGTATCGAAAGTCACACCTCTAAAGGTTCCTCGCGCAGAGAACACAAAATGGAATTTTCTTTAAAAAAATGAAGATAGCACGGGTCCCAGAAATCGGTCATTTCTTCCGTCACTAATTCGGGCCGTTAAATCGACCGTTAACGACCCCGAGAAGTCGATCGCGTGTGTACTGGACGATTATTATCACATAAACTGCAAATTGCACGTTATTACCGGGTCGCGTTTTTCTCTGTACCCGTACGCGTCTATACATCAGGGTCAAATTGTTCGTGGCTTATCCTCGTGTGCCACCACGATACGTATTCCACTTCCGATGGCACTGGCAGTTACAGCTACGTCGTCGACGAATTTCGATCGAAATTCCCGCCACGCGGTTTGCGATGCACCTCGAAATTTCGAAACACACGCATGCACGATGAAAACACAGTCGGTTGCAGCGCGGTCGTGACACGGAATTTGAACGCGTTTTCGTTCACTACACCAGAAAAATAAAGACACCTTCGAACGCCACACCGCGCAGTCGATAACGCTGTTTAGAGACGAAAAACAAAATGAAAGGATCTACGTACGCGAGTGTACAGGGTGGCATATTTATCTGTGACTTGCATTTAAAAATGTTTCTAAAGAAAATTCGTATTAAACGCACGGTGTAATAATTTAGATATAAATATGTAAATGTAATGAACAATGTTGGTTAAATATATTAAATAATTTATATTGTTGTTATTTATTATTTGTGAGTTATATATTATGTATAATTTTTGTATATAATTGTTATGCATAATTTTTATTTATGTATTATATAATTTATATTACTATTGATATATTATATAATTTATTATTATTGATATATTATGCAATTTATTATTATTGATATATTATGTAATTTAATATTACTGATATATTATATAATTTATTATTATTCATATATTATATAATTTATTATTATTGATTTATTAAATAATTTATTTAGATATTAAAAAATTTATATCAAAATATAAAAATGAATTTTTTCATTGCCTGTATCTGACCGTGCTATGAAAAAGATTGTATGCCGAGTAAAACGACGTTGCGAGGGTGAAAATGAATAATTATAAATCCTATGCAAAAATTTGAATATGAAAGCACTTTGAGTGAAATGCAATTATGCATGAGTCACTTCTCACCGATTTATATTTACAAGTTTCCAACAGACAGGACTGCACATTGTTTAAATGAAAAATGTATTAAATACTACCCCGGTAAATTGAAATAATAACCGAGCATTCGGTGATTCTTAAGGTCACAGCACGTAACAAATAATTGGACATTTAGAAATCAGAGCGTTAAACTATCACACTGAACACTGCCGCGGAACTTTCTCAGGAAACGTTTAAACAGTTCACAGGTAAACTTAAATGACTCACCCTGTATACGCGTATGCGGGTACACAAAACTCGTTAAAAATCGAAAAATAAATAAGAGAGAATTTTGTGGAGTATTCGTAAAGGTACCGTGTAATATAGAAGAGAATGAAGTGTTAAGAACCTGTTTCCCATACACTACGCGTGCTATCGACGAAGCGTTTGAGCCGAGCCTCGAAAACACCGGCACCGGGAATCTCGAAGGGATGCACTTTGGCCCGTCACTCGTCTCGCGACGATACTACGCGTTTTTGTCTAACGCACCGCGCGAGACTCGTAAAACATTCGCAGCACGATGCGTGCACGCCGTGCTCGAGGACACTACCGTGCATCGCCGCCGGCTACCACAGGAGGCGTTCACGGCAATGGTAGTGGTGGCAGCGGTGGTAGTGGTGCTGGTGGTGGTGGTGGCGACCGAGACGCTGGTGGTGGTGGCAATGGTGGTGGTGGTGGTGGTGCTTACGGTGGTGATGCTGCTGGTGGTGGTGGTGAGATTGTGGTAGAGGTGGTGCCGATGCTGATGGCGGTGGTGACGATCGCCGGACGATGCAAAGAGACCAGGACGACGGAAACGTGTCGCGGGTGCGAACTTCCGCGTGGTCGTTTGCAACGATTTACCTACGACTATCGCTAATATACCACTTTTTTAACTACACTTCACGCTAAATCTCCCAGCGCATTCCTTTTTAATCACAAAATTTTATATACACTTTATTTTTATCAAAATCTATTTGAAGAAAACCACCTTGGCATTCATAATTTAATTTTGAAACAGCAATTTCATAACTTAAAATAAAAAATTTGTGAAGTTAAGTAGTTTTAATGTTAACTCTTTGAGGTTAATTATCTCACATTTTACTTAGCTTTTCATACATAGCACATATTCATAGGACATGTTTTAACTCACCTCCAAAAATTAATGTTTTCTTGCATTTATTTATACAAACATTTCTTGCATTTATTTATACAAAACAAATGCAATTTATTTTCTGTAAAATCACGAGTCTCAAAGAGCTAATTCCCAGGTCTTTTTTTAATTAAAAAATTTGTCAATATGATTTTCATGTGTGTCAGGTAAAATTGGGGTGCGTATATTGATAACAATTTTTCGTTTGTTTATTTACTTTATTTTTAACTTCAAATTATGTGTACATTACAAGCTAACAGAATAAACCGGTGTATATTTTTTTTATTTTTAATTTCGAATTATGTATGCATTATACGCTGGTAGGTTTAGCGTCAGTTGGATGCGTTCGACATTGACGTTAACGAATTGTTAATTCTTTAGCGAATAGAAATTTAATCCTCTTTTTGCTTTATTTTTCTCGTAACATTTATAATAGGGGCATTTGCCCTGCATTCGACACGTATACTCGTCAGTACTCGATTTTAATTACACATCCGCTGGTGGTGGTGGCAATGGTGGTGGTGGTGGTGGTGCTTACGGTGGTGATGCTGCTGGTGGTGGTGGTGAGATTGTGGTAGAGGTGGTGCCGATGCTGATGGCGGTGGTGACGATCGCCGGACGATGCAAAGAGACCAGGACGACGGAAACGTGTCGCGGGTGCGAACTTCCGCGTGGTCGTTTGCAACGATTTACCTACGACTATCGCTAATATACCACTTTTTTAACTACACTTCACGCTAAATCTCCCAGCGCATTCCTTTTTAATCACAAAATTTTATATACACTTTATTTTTATCAAAATCTATTTGAAGAAAACCACCTTGGCATTCATAATTTAATTTTGAAACAGCAATTTCATAACTTAAAATAAAAAATTTGTGAAGTTAAGTAGTTTTAATGTTAACTCTTTGAGGTTAATTATCTCACATTTTACTTAGCTTTTCATACATAGCACATATTCATAGGACATGTTTTAACTCACCTCCAAAAATTAATGTTTTCTTGCATTTATTTATACAAACATTTCTTGCATTTATTTATACAAAACAAATGCAATTTATTTTCTGTAAAATCACGAGTCTCAAAGAGCTAATTCCCAGGTCTTTTTTTAATTAAAAAATTTGTCAATATGATTTTCATGTGTGTCAGGTAAAATTGGGGTGCGTATATTGATAACAATTTTTCGTTTGTTTATTTACTTTATTTTTAACTTCAAATTATGTGTACATTACAAGCTAACAGAATAAACCGGTGTATATTTTTTTTATTTTTAATTTCGAATTATGTATGCATTATACGCTGGTAGGTTTAGCGTCAGTTGGATGCGTTCGACATTGACGTTAACGAATTGTTAATTCTTTAGCGAATAGAAATTTAATCCTCTTTTTGCTTTATTTTTCTCGTAACATTTATAATAGGGGCATTTGCCCTGCATTCGACACGTATACTCGTCAGTACTCGATTTTAATTACACATCCCGTGAAGGATTTTTCATAATAAGTTCCGCTATTAAGTGGATAATTACAGCGATATAACAAATGTATCCATTAGCGACCTCGTTAACGACCAATTGTTTACTTTTTCATTAAAGATGATAAATAGATTTCAGTCTCCAACTTCGTAAATCTTACAATTCCCAAATTCTCCTCAGTCTTTCAAACTTGAAAAATTTCTATAACGTGAAAAGTTCAGTCTAAATGCTATACGCGTTCTGTAAGTTGACAGTTGGGTGCAATACAGATTTCTACCAAGATTTATGCCAACTATCAGTCTCGTACAGTACGCATGCCAATTTCGAAATGAAAAGAGTGTCTCGGTTTCTTCCAAGTCGAAGAAACGTAATCGGTCTACCCGAAACTGTTCGTACTACCCGAAGGACCGTACGTAGAGTACCCGGTCCGAAGGGATCCGAAGTCGGCCGAGTGTAGCCGAAATGTCGCGTTATCCGCACATCCCTAGTATCGCGTCATTGACGAAGCACCCTCCCGCGCAATGTCAACAACAACAGAGCGGACGATAACGGAGAAACGCGTAAGCGATCGTAACGCGAACGGATTCGTATCGTCCGCGCATCGGTAAATCTACGGAAACGTTAGCTAAGCTGGTGCACTTACCCTTCTCCTTCTCCTCGGTTTCTTCGGTTGGACGAGCTGTTTCTCACTTTCTCCGTCTCTCTCTCTCTCTTTCCCTAGCACACGCTCCAACTTTGTCTTCCTTACGATGCTTCTCTTCCTCCGGCGCTCTCTCGCTCTCTTTCTTGTTTTCTCTTTCTCTCTCCGTTCTCCTACTAGCCGACGAGCAGCAGCAGCAGCAGCAGCCGCGCAAGCGAGGGAGAAAGGAGAGAAGCAGAAAGAGAGGGAGAGAGAGAGGGACAGAGGAGAGAAGGAAAGATAGAGAGGGAGAGCCAAACGAAAGCGAGAGTGATCCTCCGTGCTCTCTCCCTCTTGCTGCACGCTCCACCCGTCCGGTCGGCCTGTCGCCGTCGCTGCCGTTGCCGTTGTCGGTGTCGTTGCCGCAGCTACTGCCACTACCGTTGCCGTTCTTCTACCCTATCGACGTTACATTCCAAATTTCCCTTCGATCGGTCACCGGGAAACGAACGTTCATCCACGATCACCGCTGGCGTCCGCGACAAACGAAACAACTCTCGCTCGGCACTGTTTCTCTTCCTGATCCTCGTGTCGTGTCCCTTCGATATCCTTTCACCGCGAGCTTTCGCTCTTTTCCCCGTTTCGTATCACCGTACGTATACATATACACGGGATCACCGCGTCGTTTACTTCGCCCCGACGACACTGGGCCCACGAGCTGGGCATACACGTGTGCACGAGAGCCGTTACGAGCGTGTCCGTTTCATTCCCGTGCACCGCTCACCGATCACCTACAGCCGGCCTGCTGTTTATTCCTTTACTCTTTCTTTGCTTTTTCAAACGCTCGCCTACACGCACTCGCACTCTTGTTTTCGTTCGCGTGTTCGTTCGCTCCGACACTCGCCGACCGTAAACACGCGTGAACGTTTCGACCGGCTCCGTCGATCGCATCAAAACACTGTACCTTTGGTTCGGCGAACTGCCCCGTGGTGAGTGTGCTCGCCGCGCGGTGACTGTATGCTCCGAGAGTATTCTTTGTCCGTTCGGAGTCGCAGCTGCCCGCGTTTCGGCCGTCGGTCGCGATTCGGCCGCGTTCGGCAATTCTCGGGTGTCATCCCGTTCGTCATGGCGGGAACCCAGGATATAGCCAGGACCATCGGTGGAAAGGGAAAGGGAAAGGGGAACTCGAGCGTACGCTCGTGCACGTTTCTCTCCCCCCACTCCTCTCTCGCTCCCTCTCTTTCTCTCTCTCCTGATGGTAACTCGCGGGAGAAAAAGGTAGCGAGACGATGATAAAGGAAGAAAAAGAGAGCGAACGAGGGAGAGGCGAGCGAGTTAGTTGACCGAGTACGAGACGGAGTACGAAAGATTTCGATGCGTTTCTGGGGTGGGGGGAAGTGATCGTGTACTGGCTAGGAGGGGACGGGGGAGAACGCGCAGGCGCAACGAGACTGGCTGCAACCCCTTGCGTGATGCCTAAGCAACAAGGGGATGCTGCGAACCTGCTTCGACCGAATGCGAAGCTTTCCTCTTCTTCTGCTTCGCCTTTTACTCTCCTTGCTCTACTGCTCGTAACATTCTTCGCTTCTTTTGCTTCGCTTGCGAGCGACTGCGCAATCATTTTGATCCTGCGTGAAAAATACTGCGAAAACTTTCGATAAAAATATTATTTTTAAATTATCGCGATTTTTATCCTTTTCCGTGCGTTACCAGCGTTCTATAACCTATTGATTATTTTGGAATGTGCCAGAAACGATGTTGAGATTAATAAAGCCTTTATTAGCGATAATATTATGGGGATGATGGTGGCGGTAGAGTAATTAATTTCTATAATTACGAAGAGTAAAGTTCACCTCGGTGATTTTAATAATCTGGTACGTGATATGATTCTGCTCATTTTTAATCATAAAGATATATACATACGTTGTTTAGATATTTTTAATATTTTATATTAAATCATATAAAGATTTTGTGTATGTAATTCTTGTATGTTTTTGGTCTTAAATTCATATACGTTTAGTTCATTGTTATCCTAGCTTTTTAGGTTCCTAGATTTTTCATACTTCCCTAGATGTCTAAATCTGTAAATTCATATACCCCTACATTCACGTACCCTCAGTTTCCTACGTTCCTAAATACTTATTCTTTTAGATACATATGTTCCTAGATACATATATGTCTGGATCCATTTGTCTACAGAGGCCTATGTTGGCTCAATGTTTCCCTAGATCACTATGTCCCTATCTCTACATTCTTGTATTCCTGCATTTTACCCTAGCACTTCAAATATTTCTGTAGGTCAAAATATCTGTAGACCTCTAAATGTCCCTAGATCAATCGTCATCATTAAAAGCATTCT